TTACAGGCTGAGCCACCGAGCCTGACCTAGTATGACATTTCATCGATACATTTCAATATAGTCATTCATTTCTAGCTGTACATAGAATGAGGAAAGATCTGATACATGCACAACATGTCTTAAATGGGTTGCTGTATTTTAGAATTATAAACATTTGCCATTATTGGGAAGTGTAATGGGGTCCTTCTGCATACCTGTTTAGAAACAAAACCACCATGACACAATTTTTATAGTGTCTGTATATTTGTGATGCAATGGTCTTGTAAAGGTTTTTACTGAAAACTACCATTAGCCAGTCTTTTTTACTGACAATAAATTATTAATAAAATAGAAAAATAATTTGTGAACCATTGGGATAAATATATATCCTTTTAAAAAACTCACAGATACCAGATAGTCGGTTTTTTTGTTTGTTTGTTTTTTGTTTTTGTTTTTTTCGAGTTGGAGTCTCACTCTGTCACTCAGGCTGGAGTGCAGTGGCAGCCTCGATCTGCTGGTCTCAGGCAATCCTTCCACCTCAGCCTTCCAAGTAGCGCCACCATGCCTGGCTAATTTTTTGATTTATTGTAGAGATGAGGTCTTACCAAGTTCCCCACGCTAGTCTCAAACCCATGGGCTCAGGCAATCCTCTCACCTCGGCCTCCCAAAGTGCTGGGATTATAGGCATGAGCCACCACACCCGACCCAGATAGCCATTTCAATGATGCTAGCAACATCTGTGGGTCCTATACTCTTTTTTTTCTATCCAAATTGATCAAGACTGTTCTCTGTTGATATATATTGATTAGGCATAAACATAAACATATCTCCTTTTCTTACTCATAAAGAGACATCCAGGGATTATATTCAGAATATAAAGAACTACTACAAGTTAATAGGAAAAAAACCAAACAACTCAATGTGGAAAAATGGGCAAGAGAACTGGACAAAAACTTCCCCAAAAAAAGGATACCCAGATGACTAAAATTATATTAAATAGTGCCTTCCTTCTGATAACTAATAATCAGAGAAATACAAATTAAGCAACAATGATATATGAACACAGATACTCACCCAAAGGAAAAAAAATTAAGAGAGTAGTAATGCTAGGTGTTTGAGCAGCTAGAAGTTACTACACTGCTGATGAATATGTGATTGGTGCAGCTTCTTCAAAAGCAATTTGGTAATATCACATAAGCTGAAAGAAATATAACATATGACATCACTGTCACTTCTAGGTGTATGCTCTCCCCCAAAGAGAATGTGTATGCATGTGTACAAAGAGACATGTACAATGATATGCTATGAGCAGTAGAACGGTAGATGGAGTAAATGAATGTTAGTGCATTCATACTGAAAAAAACAAAAGCAGCTAGGTTGATACTCACAGCTAGGCTATAGTATTCTCCTGTTGAACAAAAGCAATTTCATGGAGCACCAACATCAGACAAGGTCACTCTATAACTGTGATGGATCAAAAGAAAAACAAGAGCATACCACAATCATGTCTAAACACAAACAAAAACGAGCATTATCCAATCCACAAAAATGCCCAGATATCTATAACATGGCTTTAACCTTACCTCACCTCTCTCATCTTCTACACAACAATTAATAATATACTCATCATAAGCCAGGCATGGTGGCATGTGTCTGTAATCCCAGCTGCTTGGGAGGCTGAGGTGGGAGGATCTCCTGACCCTGGGGGTCTTGAGTATTATGGTAAAACCTGTCCAAAAAGAAAGAAAGAAAGAAGAAAAAAAATCATAGAATCACTTGACAGCATCTAATCCAGAGAAAATTCCTGCTTCAAACCTCCCCCAAATCACCGAACACAAGAACAAATATTGTTATCATTTTTAACATCCTCTTACTGAGATGCTCCATAATTCTCTATGGTGTGCAGTTTTTGTTGTTGCAGTAAGTCAGTAAATACAGTTTTGTTCAACTACAAGTGTGTTTCTGATGGTCTTTGGCTAAAGGGCACTGACAATACACTGGAATTATACACAGTAATAAAAATAAATGAGCTAGAGCTAAACATAACAACGTCAATCTCACACTGAACTAAATTAAACAATGAGGGAAAGAAACTAGAGTCAAAGGAGTTTCTACTGTACAATTTACTTTGTATCTAGTTTTCAAAAGTGACAAAGTTAAACTTAAACAGTTTTAAACAGGGATGCACATTTAAGCCAGGTGTTTAAATATCTGCAAAAAATTGAGGCAGGATGTCATTAATATTTTGTACACTTTCTATTTTCATTTTTTTTCCCACTTGGAAAATATGGTTTAGATTTCTTTTAAAGGGCAGTAATTGTAGGATATAAAATGCTGAGCACAAAAGGGAAGTCAAATACTTTTGTTAATGACCATAATAAACTGTCAAAAGACAGGTTCTGGTTCTTACACTGCCATGAATAGCTGTATGAACTGGGCAAGTGATTTCATCATTTAGGGCCTTAGTTTCTTCATCTGTCTTAAAAAAATGGTTGGGAGGGGAGTGATCTTCTTGGGACTGAAAGGTACCTATACAAACCTAGAAGAAACTTAGCTTATTCTTTAGTCTTTTTGCCTCAGTATAACTATTAGAAAGCATTCAGACATTCTACTGCAGGACAAACAGCAGCCTATCCCATCTCCCCTAGGCAAATCTCCTTCAGATACAAGATCAGGATAGCCCAACCATTCATGGTTTAGCATAATAACCTCTAGTAAATTTTTGATTCCTTGTCAAGGCCAAAGTCATAAGAGTTTGTGAGTTGCAAATGTCTGAGTTTATGAATTGCAAATGTCTAACAAGTCTCTTGCAAGAATCCCCACCCTCCCCTCAGGTTAACCTAATCAGCCCTCTGTGAACTATGTGACACAGATAAGCCCTACCATGGCAGCAATCATGTGACTGACCCACCCATCTGCCTGCTGTCCATCACCTGACATCATCAGTACCTGTACTTATCTGCCCCTTTGTGATGATGTGAAAGCAGACCACCACCCAATCACCTTAATGATCTTCCCCCATCAAGGGGAATGGTTAAAAGGACTCAACCACAAGCAACCAGTGGCCATTGCCTTGCTAGAGTCTGATGTGGCCATGTGCTCTTTAAGCCATGGCTGTCACCATACTTCCTGGCTTTGGTCCCCCTCCCCCACCTTGGGGAGGTGAATCTTCTCTCTTCCTTCTCTTTCTCTCTCTAATTTACTTTTAAATAAACTTTTCTTTCTTAACCTTTTTGTGTGTTGCAATTCTTTGTATCTACTCAGATCTCTGGGTTCCCAGCGCACACCTCTGTTTTGCCAGCCCCAGCAGTGCTGTGCACCTCCCTCCTCCTCGCCACCCTCACTCTGTCCGTCCATACCCTAACAGAGATACTTATTCTTAAACATTCTATGATCTTATGATCATAAAGGAAACTCTCAACAAATACCTCCTATATTTCTATTAGCCATTTTCAACTAATGTAAGTAGTCTTATTTTATTTCCTTTAAAACCCAAAGCCAAACATTTATATTCATTTGATTTATCCATTATATTATTGGCATGCAGAATAACATCTGATTAAGAGCATAGACTCTGGAGTCAGACAAAATTAAATATTTTTTTCCTTTTTTTTTTTTTTTATAGTAGGGGTCTCACTCTGTTGCCCAAGCTGGAGTGCAGTGGCACACTTATGACCACTGCAGCCTTGACCTGCTGGGCTCAGGTGATCCTTCTGCCTCAGTCTCCCAAGTAGCTGGAACCATAGGCACATGCCACCATGCCCAGCTAATTTTTTGGTTTATTGTAGAGACTAGATCTTGCCATGTTGCTCAGGCTGGTCTTGAACCTGTCGGCTCTGGCAGTCCTCTTGTCTCTGCCTCCCAAAGTGCTGGGATTACAGGTGTGAGCCACAGCGCCCAGCATTCCTTGTTTTATTTTATTTTATTTTTTGAGTTAGAGTCTCACTCTGCCGCTCCGGCTGGAGTGCAGTGGCACACTCATGGCCACCACAGCCCCAACCTGCTGGGCTCAGAGATCCTTCCGCCTCATCCTTCTAAATAGCTGGAACTACAAGCACGCACCACCACGCCCAGCTAATTTTTTGATTTATTGTAGAGATGAGGTCTTGCCAAGTTGCCCAGGCTGGTGTCGATCTACTGGGCTCAGGCAATCATCTCACCTTGGTTTCCCAAAGTACTGGGATTACAGGCTTGAGACACCATGCCAGGCCCCTGTCTTTTTAAAAAAAGAATAATGTTGGCCGGGCTCGGTGGCTCAGCCTGTAATCCCAGCACTTTGGGAGGCTGAGACGAGTGGATTGCCTGAGCTCGCCGGTTCAAGACCAGCCTGGGCAATTTGGTGAGACCTCCTCTCTACAATAAATCAAAAATTAGCCGGGTGTGGTAGCGCGCACCTGTAGTTCCGGCTGCTTGGAAGACTGAGGCGGAAGGATCGCCGGAGCCCAGCAAGTCGAGGCTGCGGTGGCCAGGAGCGTGCCACTTCACTCAAGCGTGGGCGACAAAGTGAGACTCTGACTAAAAAAAAATATTAAAAAAATAATGTTTACCTCATAGGGTTGTTGTAAGGATTAAATTAAGTAAACTATGTAAGCCACTTAACATGGTGCCAGTACATAAAAACCATATCCACTGAATATCGCTGCCATCACAATTTTAAGTGACAAACGGGTTGCTTCCTAAGAATTTGATGGTTCTGGGCAGGGGATGGATTTGTGCAAATTAAGAGGCCAGTTGGCCAGGTCTCCTATCAATGTACCTACTGGACCTCAGGTTCCTGAAGAATGTCTACCTGTTCTCTTCCTTTTTTCTATTGATCACTTCCTCATGCTATTCCGTTCCCCGCCCCATATATATGACTGGGGCTCCAAAAGACACTGCCGAATCCTTTTGCTTCTTCCTTGATCTCTGGGAGGACTGCAGAATGTGCAGTTGTAGCTTAAACTTGTTCTCTTTGTCCATTGCTGCAGTTGTCCCAGCCGACTCGCAGGTACAGTGACTTCAGCTTAAGCGAGTATTCTCACTGGCTTCTCAATTCCCAAGGACTTATTTTCCTGAAAGGGAATTAGCAAGCGACTCTGCTGTTGCTTTGGCAACAAACTTTCAACGTCTACCTAACTCTCCAGAATGAGAACATTCTCTATTAATACATTCGATAGACTGGGGAGTTGAGTTGCTCAATGCGAATTTTCTTCCAAGCGCAAAACAGCTTACCAGGCTGGTAGAGCCGTGGGTGGCGCTGCGGCCAGAGGCGAGTGAAACTGAGCGCAGCTGTTGCAGTAACTAATCTATTGCGGAAAAGTGAAAGTATATCCGCAACAGTTGGCTTCTGCTGCAGAGTGCGCTTGTGAGAACTGATGGCGGTTGCGCGCAGAAAACCTTTGCAAAGCAGGCAAGTGGAATCTCTTCTCATTTTTCTGTGCGTATCCGTAGGGGGTGCGACAACCATCCGCTATTCGGTGGCGGAGGAAATGGAGAGTGGCTCGTTTGTGGCCAATGTGGCTAAGGACCTAGGCTTGGAGGTTGGGAAGCTGGCTGCGCGCGGGGCGCGGCTTGTTTCCGAGGGCAACAAACTCCATTTCCGGCTCCACCGCAAGACGGGAGATTTGTTCGTGAAGGAGAAACTGGATCGGGAGTCCCTCTGTGGCAAAGCCGACCCGTGCGTGCTGCACTTTGAAATAGTCCTGGTGGAACCGCTGCAGTCCTTCCGAGTCGAAGTCAGGGTATTTGATATCAATGACAATGCCCCAGTTTTTCTAAACAAGGAGCCTCTTTTAAAGATTCCGGAGAGCACTCCCTTGGGTTCACGTTTTCCTCTGCAGAGCGCCCAGGATCTGGACGTGGGCCTCAACGGACTCCAAAACTACACCTTGAGCGCCAATGGGTATTTCCACTTGCACACTCGCTTTCGCAGCAACGGGCCGAAATATGCCGAGCTCGTGCTGGATAAACCCCTAGACAGAGAGAAGCAGCCTGCAGTCAACTTGACAATTACGGCGGTAGACGGCGGATCCCCGCCCAAGTCTGCTAGTGCCCACATCCGTGTGGTGGTTTTGGATGTCAACGACCACGTGCCCCAGTTCTCCAGACTGATGTACCGTGCTCAGGTCCCGGAAAATAGCGCCAATGGCTCTTTGGTGGTCATGGTGACTGCCATGGACCTAGATGAGGGCACCAACAAGGAGATCACTTACTCCTTAGCTCAAAACCCAGAAACAATTCTACAGACGTTTCAGATTGGCTCTCAAACTGGAGAGGTTCGGCTAAGAGGGCCCCTAGATTTTGAAGCTATTGAAACATACGACATTGACATTCAAGCTACCGATGGAGGAGGCCTCTCTGCCCACAGCAAAGTCCTGGTGGAAGTGGTGGATGTTAATGACAATCCTCCTGAAGTGATGGTCTCCTCTGTGTCCAGCCCTCTCCCTGAGGACTCACCACTACAGACTGTGGTGGCTCTTTTCACTATCCGGGACCGGGACATTCGAGTGGGAGGAAAAATCACCTGCTTCCTCAAAGAAGACTTTCCCTTTGTAGTCAGACCTACATTCCGGAATTCTTACTCATTGGTCACTAACAGAGGCTTGGATCGGGAGGAGGTCTCAGGCTATAATATCACCCTCGTTGCCATGGATACTGGACCACCCAGCTTGTCCACAGAGACTGTGATTGAGGTGCTAATATCTGACATTAATGACAATCCCCCAGTATTTCAGAAAGATTCCTACATCTTGACTGTTCGAGAAAACAATAGTCCTGCAGTTTTTATTGGCAAAGTCCATGCTGAGGATTTAGATTTGGGTGAGAATGCCCAAATAACATATTCTCTGCTGCCTCCAAAGAGTGGAGATCTATCAGTCTTTGCTTATATTTCCATAAATTCAGACAATGGGAAACTGTATGCACTGAGAACCATGGATTATGAAGCCATTCAAGATTTTCAATTTGTGGTTAAGGCAACAGATGGGGGCTTCTTGTCACTGAGTAGCCAAGTCAGTGTCAGAGTGGTTGTCCTGGATGACAATGACAATCGTCCAATGATCTTGTACCCCCTGCAGAATGGCACCTTATCCTGCAATGACCTGGTGCCCAGGTCTGCAGAGGCAGGCTATCTGGTGACCAAAGTGGTAGCTGTGGATGGTGACTCAGGTCAGAATTCTTGGCTTTCATATCATCTACTTAAGGCCACTGACCTTGGGTTATTTTCTGTTCAAAGACAAAATGGGGAAATCCATACATTACGGCAGATATCTGAGAGAGACCATATGATGCAGAAATTGATCATTCTTGTTCAGGATCATGGCCAACCAGCACTCTCCACTACTGCCTCACTCAGTATCTTGCTGGTAGATGGCTTTTCAGAGCCCTACTTGCAATTCCGGGATCCATCCAAACATTTTAGAAAGGTAAATCCATCCACTAAATATTTGGTCATTTCTCTGACGGTGCTTTCCTTTCTCTTTCTCCTTTCTGTTACAGTGATCTTCGTTATCCACATCTACCAAAAGATTAAATATAGAGAGAAGTTCACAATTCAAGAGCATTTCTATGATGACTGTAATTTCCCTAGCAACTTAGTACAAGGAGGAGGCAATGAATCCTTATCCCAGCCTTATCCGTATGAAATGTGTTCAACCACTGGCACTGGTAATAGTGAGTTCCGGTTTCTTAAACGCTTTATGCCCAACTTTCCTTTTCCCCATGCCACTGGAGAGGTAAAAACAGAGGCTGGCTCGAGTTTGCCTTCAGATTCTGATAAGAATAAGTCTCGGAGGTCAGAGGGCCGTGCTCAGGTATCTGATGACTATATGTAGCTTATATTTACAGCCCTCAGCAAGAGAAGAGAAATAGTATCCTATACTTAGTATGAAAAGATCTTCCATCCTCATTAAAACAAAAATGGTAGTAGATTGCAGCTTTAGTGGAGACAAAGTGCCTAGTTTGGTAACAATGGGAAACTGAGTGACGCTTAGCTTGCTTAGTACAAATAGTTATCCTGATTCCCAGATTGTATATCTGCAATCCCTTCTGCAGTTGGAATTCTATTTAAATAAATCTCATCATCTATAAATGCATATGTGGTAGGAATTTCTGCTTTTCCATCTCTGCTAGCAAGTCATGAATGAGTCATTATTCATCTCTCCCTTGGAAGTTCATTGGTCCTGGTCCAGAAAATGCTTAGTTACATAGAGAGATCTTGTTTTTGCCTTTAAATTATTTTCCACCAGAAATTTATGCATGCATAGGGAAGAAAACTAGCTTCCCATTTTGATATACCAGGAAGCAATTAGGGTTGGCAAGCAGAGTTATAGTTTATTTCTCAGAAAGTTCTAGATTTTTTGTCCCAGATGAGTGATCATGTTCGAAACAACACCTTGCATCCCATCATTCATAATCATGGAAATGCCTGATGAATGGTGGTCCTTACAAATAATCATGGTGGGAGGAAGGCTAAAGAAAAAAGAAAAGAGGATTTGACTTTATTTGCAAATGTCAGTAAGGATAGCTACAAGGCTAAAGAGATTCAGTTCAGGAATTTTCTCCAAAATTAAGTTAGAGATAGATTTCTTAACAATTGTCTGGAGTCTTAGGCAAGTCTCAAATCTCTCTTTCATATCCAGATGTCTACCCTTGCATTATCAAGGAGCAGTTATTTGAATATGGGGAATAAAAGGTAAATAAAAATGAAAATAAAATTAGGCCTGCTATAGTTAATAAGTACAATAGAACATGTACTCTAAACTATTTTGTGCTTGTACATGGCAAACACCACTTTCTAAACTATTTTGTAGTTTGTAGAACAACTCCAGAATAAAAGGGCATTAAAAGGAAAGATGTTCATTAACATCAATTAAGTGGCCTTAAGAAAAGATAGAGATGGGTGCAGTGGCTCATGCCTTAATCCCAGCACTTTGGGAGGTGCAGGCGAGAGGATTATCTGAACTCATGGGTTCGAGACCAGCCTGGGCAACTTGGCAAGACCTCATCTTTACAATAAATAATTTTTAAAAAATTAGCCAGGCATGGTGGTACGTGCCTGTAATTCCAAGTACTTGGAAGGCTGAAGTGGAAGAATTGCCTGAACCCAGCAGGTCAAGGCTGTAGTGGCCGTGAGTGTGCCACTGCATGAGTGACAGAATGAGACTCCAACTCAAAAAAAAGAAAAGATGCATTTTCAGGAAGGACCAGATTTAATCGTAAGCCATTTCTTTCTGAGCATTCTGAAGTGATGGCATGGAAGCTGAGAAAATGAGGTATTTTTAGTAAATCATTCATAAAATGAAATGAAGTAGGAAAACAAGTTAGGTCTCTTTTTGATCATCATTATTTTACCTTTATAAGCTATTCTAGGGCCTCTCATTTTTTTTTTTTTTTTGGAATAGGAGTCTCACTTTGTTGTCCAGACTGTAGTGCAGTGGCAAGCTCATGGCCACCACAGTCTCAACCTACTGGGCTCAGACGATCCTTCCACCTCAGCCTTCCAATAGCTGGAACCACAGGTGTGCACCATGCCCAGCTGCTTTTTTTTTTTTTTGGAGTCAGAGTCTCACTCTGTTGCCCAGACAGGAGTGCAGTGGCATGCTCATGGCCACTGCAGCCTCGACCTGCTGGGTTCAGGTGGTCCTTCCACTTCAGCTGGTACTATAGGCATACGCCACCATGCTCGGCTATTTTTATTTATTGTGGAGATGAGGTTTCACCAAGTTGCCCAGGCTGGTCTCGAACCCATGGGCTCAAGCAATCCTTTCACCGCGGTCTCCAAAATGCTGGGATTATAGCCAGCTAATTTTTTGATTTATTGTAGTGATGAGGTCTTGCCAAGTTGCCCAGGCTAGTCTCAAACCCCTGGACTCAGGCAATCCTTTTACCTCCACCTCCCAAAGTGCTGAGATTACCGGCGTGAGCCACCATGCCTGGCTGGGTCCTCTCAGTTTAAAATTAAAGAAGCAATATTAAAACATTAACATATTTCAGAGATGCTCTTAATACTACTAACTGTGCCTTGACAGTGCAAAGTTAGCTTTAATGAGGATTCGTGTGCCTTATTTATTACAAATGTGTGTAAATTCAGACTCGCTAAGATACATCCTCTTCCTTTCCCCATAGGATGACACAATATTTGTACATGGAATTCTAAAGTTAGAGCATTTTCTCTTAAATTCCTCTAAAATATACTAAATCATATATCTTGACATAGGTCTCATTCTTAGACTTATGAATAATACCTAATGATATCAGCTAGCCGTCTACCTGGTGGTCAAGAATATACTAAAATTTAGTGCTATTTTGTTTTAAATGTTGGAGATGCTTAGGGCAGAACTGGCATAACCTATGGCTGCCCTCAATATTTTATTTACTGTTTTGTAAATAGATGAAGCAAATGCAGAATATTAATGATTGTTAGTATTAAATATTTTCTATACATTTAGTCATAATCTTGCTCATTTAGAGTAAAGGTCTTTCTTGCATAAAACATAGAAAGAATAGTGTTCCAATGTATTTGGGTTATGTTTGGTGAAGCCATGCTGAAATCAGAGACTTTAAGTGAGAAAGAACATAGAATTAACTTTTACTGGTAAATAGTAATTAGTTAATAAAACATAATTAACTAAAAGCCACTGGATTAACTATATTTGATTACACTTAACCATGTGAGCATAATCAACAGAGCCTAGCTTGATGTCAAGGATAAGGAAAAAATATGGCCATCGATCAGTGATTTTAAGACTTTAAATTTCTAATAGCAGTAAAGCTCACATCCACATACAAAATGGACAGAAGACTTAGATTTGTCAACTTTTTATTTTTCCACATTAAATTAAATGAAATAAAGCCTACCATTTAATATCACCATTATTCCATAAAGGAAATGACATTTTAGTGTAAAAATGGTAAGACAATAATCTCATAAAGGGAACTATCCCTTAAATTTAAAAAGAATAGTCTTAATGAAAAATTTATTTTGTCTTCCTTTTTTCTTCTTTTTGTCTTATACCAGTGAAAATTTTGTCACTGACTTAGATTTGAAAACTACTTATTTTTATTCAGACTTCAAGGTATTTATTTTATTTTATTTTTTTGAGTCAGAGTCTCACTCTGTCGCCCAGGCTGGAGTACAATGGCACACTCACGGCCACCCCAGTGTCGACCTGCTGGGCTCAGGCAATCCTTCTACCTCAGCCTTCCAAGTAGCCAGAACTACAGGTGCATGCTACCACGCCTGGCTAATTTTTTTTTTTTTTTGAGAGGAGGTCTCATCAAGTTGCCCAGGCTGGTCACGATCCCCTGGACTCAGGCAATCCTTTTGCCTTGGCCTCCCAAAGTGCTGAGATTTCAAGCTTGAGCCACTGCGCCCAGCCTGGAGAGGTTTCTGTATACCAGCTGAAGTTAAGTCCCGGTATCCATCAACAAATTAAGATAAAGAATGAAAATAATTAGGGATATTACTTTCCCTAAAATTTTGCATAATATTAGAACTACTTGTATTTATTAAAAGTTATAATCCAAGAGCCTTGAAAAGTATCTTGTACATACAAGGCTTTTTACTGTGATAATTTTAGAGATAAAATTATAAAAAATACTATAGAGAGTGCCTATAGATCTTTCACCTAGTTTCCCTTAATGCTAATATCTTATAAAACCATAGTACACTTATCAAGATTAAGAAATTAACTTTGGTAAAAATTTCTACTAACTAAACTACAGCCTTTATTCTGATTTCACCAGTGTCCCCCCATACCCTTTTTCTGCTCAAGGATTCAATTCAGGATTCCACAATGCATTTAACCGTTATGTCTCCTTAGTCTCTACTACTTGTGATAGTTCCTTAGCCTTTCCTTGTCTATCATGACTTGAGACTTTTGAAGACTACTAGTCAGTTATTTGTAAAATGTTCCTCAGTTTGAGAATATATTTGTTTTTTCATGATTAGACTGAAGTTATGCATGATTGGGAATAATATCACAGAAAGGATGTTGTGTCCTCAGTGCATCATGTCAGCAGGTACATGATGTCAATGTCATAATACTGATGATGTCAATCTTTTTTCTTTTATTGTGGTAAAAAATATATCTAACACAATTTACCATGTTAATCATTTTTAAGCATGCATAGTTCAGTAGTGTTAAGGTGATGTTAATCTTGATTACTTGGTTAAGATAATGTCTGCCATGTGTCTCCAATGTAAAGTTACTATTTTTCCTTTTAATTGGTAAATATTTGGAGAAAGATACTTTAAAACTATGCAAATATTATGTTTCTGCTTAAACCACATTTTGGTATCCATTGCTGAATATTCCTGTGGCAATTAATATTGTGGCATTCTAATGGTGATTTTCTTTCCCTGATATCTTTTACATTAATTGGTTAATTAAAATTCTTCTGTAAAGAAAACTTGTCACTTCTCCCCCACTATTTAGTTAGTTACTTTTTATATAGATATGAATATTTGCTTTATTAATTGGGTTATAATCCAATTGTTTCATTATTTATTTTGAGTCAGGGTATCACTCTGTTGCCTAGGCTGAAGTGCAGTGGCATGATCATGGCTCACTGCAGCATCAACCTCCTGGGCTCAGGCTATCCTTCTGCATCAGCCTCCTGAGTAGCTGGGACTACAGGCACAAGCCACCATGCCCAGTTAATTTTTAATTTTTTTTTTGTAGAGACAAGGTCTTGCTACATTGCCCAGACTGGTCTCCAACTCCTGGGCTCAAGCGATCCTCCTGCCTCAGTCTTTCAAAATGTTGGGATTACAGGCAAGAGCCACCATATCTGGCCAGCAAACTCTTTTATCTGAAACAAAGAGCAGATTTTTATTTTTATTATTTTTAGTTTTTTA